GGGTGCAGCGCCAGCGGCATGTCGGTGGGCTTCCCTTCTCTCACTGCGGCGCCCTGAGAGTAGAGCGGGGTGAGGGAACTCGCAGGGCAGTGTCTGGACAGTAGCTGGTTGGAATAATGACTGTCTGCGGCAGAAGTGGTTTTCTGCCTAGTTTCTCTTAAGAAAACGGGCCTGTAACCCACAGGGCTGCAGGGGATTGGCTCAGGCTGCTGGCATGGTTGCACTGGAGGTTGTCTCACTGGGATTGTTGAAGTCTCAGTAAGGGATAGCATTTGTCTTGCAAGCTAAAAGTTTGGATTCTTTTTACTATTTCTTAGGTGACCTTGACGTCTTGGCCATGGTCTGTAAGCTTATTTAAGTACCAAGATGATATTTAAAGCTTTTATTTGGGCTATTGCCACAGAAACAGAACTGGCCACAAAGATGATTAAGGGAGGGGAGCATCTCCCCTGTGAGAAGTGGCTGAGGGAGCTGAGTCTCTTTAGCTTGGAGAAGAGGAGACTGAGGGGTGACCTCATTAATGTTCATAAATTTGTAAAGGACGAATGTCAGGAGGAAGGAGCCAGGCTCTTCTCAGTGACAGCCAATGACAGGACAAGGGGCAATGGGTGCAAGCTGGAGCATAGGAGGTTCAATCAGAATATGAGGAAAAACTTTTTTACTGTAAGGGTTTTGGAGCACTGGACCAGGCTGCCCAGAGAGGTTGTGGAGTCTCCTTCTCTGGAGACATACAAAACCCTCCTGGACGCGTTCCTGTGTGACCTGGTCTAGGGTGATCCTGCTCTGGCAGGGGGGTTGGACTGGATGATCTTTCGAGGTCCCTTCCAACTTCAAACATTCTGTGATTTTTAGTGGAATAGTTTCAGCACATGCTCTTCTGTTGAATGAAGTGGGAGATGGCAAACGGAGTTTGTTGGTTGATAAAGGCAAGGAAGGAATTTAACATACTTCTAATTAGAGCAATGTGTCTTTTCAAGAAAAAGATTGTTCTAGTTTACTGTGGATATTTGAGGTTTAATTCAGATTGGTGTTTGTAAACTGCTTCAGGTATGGATTGTGAAAGTTCCAATGCCAAATAGATTCTGGTTAGTGAAGAAGACTAAATCCTGCTGTTCTGGGAAAAAGAATCTCTGAGCAAGTCTGTGTTATACAAAAACACAGAGTTTTAAGCAGTGTTGCTCAGTTTAGAGGTATTAACATGGGTTGTAAAAGCTGTTTGGCTCTATTAAGTTATTGTCGTCTGGAGTTATTTATATTGCATTTTGGCAGGGCTCCACGCTGTATGTAAAGTTTCTTTAACGGTTATGAATCAGTGTGGGGATCTCTCTAGCCAGCTTATTTTGCATCTCATGGATATCCTTAAAACTCAATTTTTATTTTTTTTTTTTGGTAATACAATAGTCATTAGGCATCTAGCCATAGGTGATGATATATTGTGACAGATCTTGCACAGTTATGGAACGAGAAAAGATCTACACCGGTAAAGACCTTACAGCATAAGGTGAGCAACAGCAGTCATATACGCACAGGTTGGAGAATACAATACAAGGCAGTAATTGGATGTTCTTTGTTAGTGTGACAGTGAAAAGCATCCCGAAGAGCATGTTGTCAATAATTTTTGCAGAAATAAAAACAAAAAAGCCACAAATTAGTTGAAAGATATGCATAGCATTTTATTCAGATTAACTTTCATGTCCTTCTTACATGAGTTGGCCTGTTTAATAACACTTTTTTCAACAGGTGCTCACAGTGGACTAAAGTCTTGTTAGTTTTACTTCTTATATTGTAAGGACTGAAACGTAACAGAAATAGTGTTAGTTCTGTAAATTGTGTAAATGGATATACTGTAATTTTTTATTCTTTTTTTTACAAACCTTTAGAAAGAGGAATGTATGTAAACAAAGTCCTGAAAAGGAGTACGGGTCATCAAGCTTTCTCTTTTACTATCTCAGCATATCGTGTAGTTTTTTTGTATACTTGAAGGAATCCTGCTGTTTATAAAGAGCATAGTCCTTTTTCTGAGAGTCTGCTTTTTCTAAGACATAAATAACAAAACTCTAGTTATTAGGACACTAATGAAGGTAATATGTTAATCCAGCTGTCTCCCTCAGTATTATCCTTTATGCTTGCACTTCTATTGAGCTTGGTTAATCTCCACTCTCTAGGTATCCTTTACATAGCTACAGGCTTTATTCTGTACAGAGTATTCAGCATATGCTCACTTTGCAAGTTTGTTCTGTTCTTTTAATTTAAAAGAATAAAGAAATAAAAGCAACACACCTCTCCAAGAATTTGGAATGTAAAAACCTGAGGTATAGGCTGTATGTTTGTGTAGTCTGTGTCTGATAACATTGATAGGGATAGCATGATGATGTGTTTTAAGATGTATTACATTGAAAATCCATTGAAAGTTCTGTCTTCACTGTAATTCTGCAGAAGTATGCACAAAGATTTGAGAGGGAAGTGTTAAATTAACTGAATGATAGAAAAAGCAGAAAGTGAAGGTAAGTGGTAAATATGGCAGTGATAAGCTGACATATTCCTTAAAATTTCAGTTTGAGGTATTGTAGATTTTAATATGAACAGATTGTGTCACTTTTAAAACTGCATATCAGGTTTTTAGACATTAATTTGATGCTACAGGAGTGTGTACTTCTATTGAACTCCAGCAGATCTTTGACAAATGGTGTGGGGGATTTGGGTTTTTGGTGGGGGGAGTGTTCTGGGTTGTTTGTTTGTTTGTTTTTTGTTGTTTTTTTTAAAATAATGCTTATCATAGAGTGTATTTTCCTTCTTATAGTTTCAAGGTCTCTGCTTCAGTAATGGAAAGACCCTGCATATGTGCCACTTTAATACAGGTACCATGCTCAGTTTAACTGTTACTGACCTTGGACCTGTTTTGTAGGAGAGTTGCACTTTGGGATGTCATATATTTCTTGAAGTTTGCATAGGTAATATCTTATTTTTTCCTGTTTTTATCAGCCAATTGGAGTATAGTTTCTAGGCATAGTATATTAATTTGTTAAGTCTATATGTGTGATTGTGTTATTTAGTCAAGTAGATATCAAACTACCTTTCAGGACAGAATTGGAGACGTGATATCTTTTATTATTCCAATTTGTGGCCTATGGAGAGAGGAGGGATTGATAAACTTCTGGGTAGAGAAGCACCACCTCCTTCAGGCACGGCAATCTCACTGGATTTTCTGGTTTGAATTCTGTCGGCTGATCTAACAAAATAGACTTTATGTCCAAACGTACCCTGTCCTTTTTATCTTCTTAACATCATGACTACATCATCAGTGCCACTGTGTAACTGGCAATACCTAACCATATCGTGATAAAATGTACTCTTTCAGTGTAGAAGTGGGATTTTGTTGTTGTTGTTTTTTCTTAAGGCGTTCGTCATTCTGATATCAAATACTAATCTTGTTTTCATTATGATTCTTGCTACTTAGATTTATAAGGGGAAGGTTAAACTTGCTTATTCTTACCCAGAAAATACTTAAGGCTGTGATTTACTAGAAGTTGGAAAGTCAGTTACTGGATTTCTGTTATATTCTCAAGTTAGTTTTGCAGTGACAGGTCTTACGATCTTGTCAACAGCCAGATGTCTGTAGTGTGTTTATGTACTCTATATTTCATCCATTCCTTTCTTTTTATGAGCATGGATGTGTAGTAACACTGAACAATTCTAATTTCAAAAATCTCTTACAGGTCATTTATTTCTTGCTTTTGGCTAACTTGCTTGGAGAGGACATCTGTTTCTTCTTTTCAAACTGCCTGTTGGAGCTATCTTGTTAATTTATGTCAGTAATCTAGTGATGTCCTATTTCTGTGGCGTTCAAGTTCTCATAGCTCCTTGAGGAAAGGAACAGCTCTGAGGCAATATCCTGTGCATCATGGATCAGGCTCTTTGCAACTCTTAATTTCCCTTCACTCCAGAGCTGTGATATAGGAGGACTGCTGCCTCTTCCAGCGTGTGGGTCTGCTATATTTAGGCTGATGTAAAAAGTCTGATTAACTGCATCTAGAGTGATTCTGAGGTCTTTTTCCCCACAGTTCCCACATCTGGGAGCAGGATGTAGATGTATTCTGGTGGGACCTGCCTGTAGCAGGTGTTCTTTATTTGCTTAACCTCTGTGCTTCACCTTATACATCTAGTACTAAAGCTAGCCAGTTAAGCTTTACTTGCTGTTTAAGGACCAATAACCTTAAGCTGCTCCTTTCATGTCTTAGTTTGGTTTTTGACTTTTATGAACGGCTACCTCAAGCCTGCTGTCCTCTGACCTATCCAGATGTCTCTGAAGTAGCCTGTCAGGAGTCTTGATGTGGGAAATTTTGCTGAGACACATTAGAGAAAATGGATCTGTAATAAGAAAAATAACATTAACTGTGGTTTGACACTGCTAACTTTTAGCTTATATCACATGCTCTCTCCCGTTTTGTGTTGTAGGCCCTGGCATTTCTGTGGTAGCTGCAGCACCATCTGTGTTGCAGCAGCACCGTCAAGTTCATCACGCGGTGATCCCTCATGGAAGAAGTGGGCGATCCTCTGTCAGTGGCATTGTGGCCACTGTCTTTGGGGCTACAGGTTTCCTAGGACGATACGTTGTCAACCGTTTAGGTAATGTTCCTCGGGAGTTCTAATTAAAAAAAAAGTGTTTAAGGGAAGTCTAGTTTTTCTTCAGGTTGCAGGATAATCTAGAACTCTTGCATTTTGGATCGAAAGTGTTTTGCATTATACTTTCATAGTGTTTGGCCTGCTAAAGTGCCAAGGTGGGACAATTAGTAAAAACTTTTAATCTAGGAAATTTAGAAGCTTGTGAAAATCGCTAGTCATTAAAATAAGTCATTCTGCTTCACTCTGTAAAATGCAGATCTGAGGAGAAGTACGGCACACATTTGATCCTTCTGGTTTTGGCCTTATTAGTACATTTTACTAAAATATTTGCTGAAATTTGATTGGAATTCTTTAAAATTGCCCTTTTGAATTTAAGTTTTATAAAATAAATCTTGCCTTTATTTTCTTCTCCTTTCCATGCAACTTAAAAAATGCAAATATCCTTAGATGTGAAACATTTTAAAGTATTGTACTGTGTTTATAGCACACGCTGTGATTTTTATTGTTTGTTCACAAGCTTCTTGCAAGCTTCTATATTTTATCTGACAAGCCCAAATACTCAACTATGTTCCTGTTTAAGCATTCCAATGATGTAGGTTCAAAAACTTAATTCTGTTCCACTTTTAGTTTTGCAGATAACTATTCAAGATATCCATGTGCCTTTGTTGTGCTTTAATGCCAGGGAAAAAAGAAAGTTTTGTAGATTCAAAACTTAATCTATTAAGTTATGAATTAGTTTGAGATAAATGAAATATTTTTTTGAAATGCTTAGGTCGCATTGGATCTCAAGTAATCATACCCTATCGCTGTGATCAGTATGACCTCATGTATCTGCGGCCGATGGGTGACCTGGGGCAACTTCTCTTCCTAGTAAGTCTTTTGCTTTGGCTTTAGATCAAATACAATACCATTGCTATACAAGGAAGTCTGTTAATCATTCTCAAAGTCAGAACTCCAGCTATTGTTTAGCCTCTAAATGGAAATAGTGTGAAAGAGCTTTCTTTGATTATGTCTATTTACACATTATCTCATCTTTTTCCCATTTGATGCTTTGGTTACAGGAGTGGGACTGTAAGGACAAAGACTCTATCCGAAGAGCTGTGGAACACAGCAATGTGGTCATTAATCTCGTTGGAAAGGAATGGGAAACAAAGTAACTTTACTTTTTTTTTTTTCCCCCTCTATATAGATAGATTTGAACCAGGTATTGGACATTGTAGCCACCTTTTACAGCACGTGATGCTGACATTATTCTTGGCTTCTATGAAAAGGCAAAACTGAAATTTTGTGTATAAAATTTCTTCCATTTCTTTAAATGGTTAACTGGAGTCTTGGATATGATCTGCTCTTGAGAAGTGCATTATTTCTATAATTTTCTAGTGTACAGCTTTTGTTCTGTCAAAGAGTTCAATGTGCTGCTTTCGTACACCTTACAGATGTTTCACGGATGCCTTCCTATAGCTGACAGAGGCTCACCAGTTTATGTAAGCTCATATTTACGTTACAGAAATGGGCTTTTGTCCTGTTACTTTGGCCTGGTGATGAATTGTAGCCTACTAGAATAAGCTATGATCAAGCTTTTCCTATTCTCTGGTAAATGTTAATAAACAGGAACAGCTAATGGAGAGTACTTAAGATTATGATTAATAGCATTATCCCTTGATAGAATTTTGGCACAGACACTATTAGCTACATAAGCATTTTTGGTAATAATTCTTAAAAATAGTTCCTTTTTGAAATCTATTTTAAAAAATCCCAGATTTGTTTTAGGTTAAAAATGCCAGTAATAGCTGCTTTTCTTTTTTTAAAATTTGCCTTTATACGGTACATAATTTCGCTATCGTAGACAGAAACGTATGTAGATTTCAGTTTCATCTGTGTTTACAAGGCTGATGCCTTTGCTCTTTTTTGTGAACAGCCATTTGGTGTTCAAATTGTAGAATTTGTAGTCAAATTATGTGAATAGAATAGAATTGAGAGTCTCAAATTGTACAGTTACTTTTCCTAAAGTAAGTGCTTGCCAACAGACATACTACTTCAGCTGTTTCTTGTCTAGTCAAATATCATACATAACTTCTGGGAGACACTTTGAATTTGCGTTCAAATTCATAGAGCTACTTTCTTTTTCTGATAGTCACTTAGCTCCTTGTCCCACTGTTGGAGTCTGTAACATAACTTATTTGGGCAAAAGCCCACCAAACCTAAATTAACTTTGGTCTTGTGCATCTGACAAAGATTTTTGGTTCTTTTTATATCTTCTTCAGACTTTGGGATGTAGACTTTACGTTAAAATGTGCAAACCAACTGCCCAGGATTGTTTTGTGCTGTAACTGAATTATGAACGTAAGAGTTCAAACACATATTGTTGCCAAAACATGAAATTTCTTTGTAATGTGTGAATGAGGGACTAAAAAAGGTCTGTACAGTTAGCCCAAGGACAATGTAATCTCTGTTCATCTTTCAGATATGTATTTCATGTGTACTTGCCCCTCTAAAATTTTTGGACTTGTGTATGAAGTATGATTTATATAAGGGCGAGTATTTTTCTTATTGAAAGGAAGTGTGATGACTGCAAGAAAAAGTTTCATTCCAGTTAGAAACACCCAAAACCGTGTCACTCTGGTCAGTTGCAACAGATTCCAGAGCAGAGGAGTCTTGGTACATGTTCAAGCCTCTTGGATGTTCCAGAACTTAGTGGTGTATTGCACAGACGTTCTTACCTATCTTACATGTGTTGGTATCAGTGGTGGTGCTGGAACCCCAAGATGAAATTCTATGGTCTGTTAAACATGAGGTCAGACTAACCATTTCAATCATCCCAAAGTCTATGAAAAACTTACGCAGGAGAAACCGCCCCTGAGATCAGAAGTAGAGAACAGTCAAAAAAAGTAAAGTCTGCCATTAAATGCTTTCCTCCTTGCCTAGCATTATTAGTGTACAGTCTCATCTGTGTATATTATGTTGTTTGAAAACTCCATAGTTACAGGAGGGATGTTGTTCGTTCTTGTGTGTTTCTAAAATCTATTTTTATGAGCAGAACAGGAGTGATGGTTCCCAGGATCAGATTAGTTATTGAAGGGTCAAAAATAACTTTTTATTTTTAAGGCTTTCTTTAGTCTCCAGTGGGATCTGTGGGAGTAGATAAGGACAGAGAGAGAGGCATTTGGACAAGATGTTTGTTACCCAAAGCAAATGGAAAAGATGGAGTGCATTGCTTACAAGGACAATATAAAGACATGAGAAGCCAATTCTTTTTCTTGCAGTCTTGGGATAGCTGGAAAGAATTTTCGGATTGTTGCCAGCCTCTAGTGTCAGTTCTGCTTGGAGACAGAGCTTCTGTTTTGTTCTTGATCAGATGCCAAACTAGATTACAGTTGAACCCCCTAATTTAGGCCCCTTGAATGCCATAAAGTGAGTGAAGTTGTTGCTCTTTCTGCATGCTTCTCCTTGAGAAGTCCCTTAGAGCTGCTATGAAATGATTCTAACTGTTCTGTCAATGTAAGATTTTCTATTTGCTTAAGCACCTGTGTGTTCTTTGGTCTGTTTTTTATCCACCTCCCCAATGTCTAGCATCTCGGGCTGCTCAGAATTTTTTAGCTACTTTATAATGTAATTGAGTGCATCAAATCAAGTCATATTTTGCACAGATGTTGTAAAAAGACAGCTTTGCTCAGATTTCAAGATACAGCACTTCTCTTAAAAAATAATCTGTTTTCACTTGGGAAGAGTTTTCTATTTGTCTTGGAAGATTTCTCATACTGATCTTAACAGGTGAAAAAGCAGACAGTACTAAAGCTGTAATTGAAGCTTACTGTTGCATTTCACTTACCTCCAGTTTTTATTATATGAAGAGTCCCTCATGAAAGGAAATTTTCTTTCTAACAGAGAGTGTCAAGATAGGTTTTTAAAATATATTCCAGTAATACATAATGATTGCTATTTAGTTGGTAGGCAGCCACTGTTGATTGCTCTTAAAGTAATTTTTTTTTTCCCTTGTCTTAGAAATTTCAGTTTTGAAGATGAATTTGTAAATATTCCCAGAAGTATTGCACAGATATCTAGGGAAGCTGGTGTGGAAACACTCATTCATATCTCTCACCTGAACGCTAGCATGAAGAGTCCTTCCAAATACCTCAGAAATAAAGTAAGTCTGGAATCCTTTTGAATATATTCTCAGCCTACTTTTTGATTTGGCTTTTTTGTTTGGTTGGTTGGTTTTTTTCCCTTAACTGGGTCTATTTGAAGGAAATCAGTGTACAAATTTACTGTGTAATGTTTTCTGCAGCTGAGGAATTTTTGAGCTACTGTGCTTACTGGAGCTAGAAATCCTCCTTAGTATTTCATGTGCGTTGAAGGAAAATGGAACTTGTGTTCCTGAAAACTTGTCCTTTCTTCTGTCCTTGAATATCTTTGCATCTGAAATTACTGTCATTAAGAAAGAGGACCTAGTTTGATGGTTTGGGATCTGATACCAGGCCTAACATCTAAGGCTGGAGTGACCTAGCAAAGTTGATGCCAAAATGAATGCTGCAAAGACAAATGAGTTTCACGTTTACAGGCCCTTGGAGTGGGATTGTTACCTGGTCTTGTACAAAAAAAATAATTCTTGTTTTGGAATCCTATTATTTTTTTCCTTATTAGGAGGTATAATTTTATATTACTGAATTTCTCTCTTTAATATAGCTAGTTTTGTTTTTTTTTGTTTTGTTTGAGCTCACTGTGCTCTGCCTTGTCTTTTTATAGTAAAGATTTTAAAACCAGGGCTAAAATCTGGTAGCTCCCAATGTGTAACAACTCCATAGGATAGTTAGGCCTTACTGTATTGTCTAGTCCCACGTGGAAAGTAGACAGCTACCACTGAAATTTCTAACTGTATTTAAGCAGTTCTTGGAGTGTTCTGATAATGTAGTAGAGGATATGTAAACCTTCTGTTTAGCAAGAGAAGTACTTGGGTTAGGCTTCTTCCTTTTGAAGGAAGGAAGTCAGTTCCTTTTTGTCAGTGTAAATTTCTGTCACTTCATTAGTGAGACTGCATTGTATCTCAAATAGAAGACATTATCTACGTGTTTCTGGGACTTTGGGGATGTTCTGTGAGGCTTTTATCTTAGCATAGCATCTCAACGATCAAATGGCTGAAATATAAATTATTTTTGTGGTATTGATCGTGTAGTTTCTTCCAGTGCTCTAGTCAGGATGTATTAAGTTCTGAAAAGGCAACTTCCGGTCTGTTCGGAATGGATCTAATGAATGTGTTCATTTTAATTGAATTATAGGCTGTTGGAGAAAACACAGTGAGGGAAGAATTTCCAGATGCTATAATTTTGAAGCCCTCTGAGATGTTCGGAAGAGAGGACCGATTTCTCAATCATTATGCAAGTGCGTACTCTTGAAATAATATTATGTAAGATTTGTGTACTTGTCTATAGTGAACAGAGGGAAAATGTGATTTGCTTTTGAGAAGCAGAGGTATGTTTTTATCAGAAATGTATTGTATTTTGTTAGCCTAAGGTGTGTAGTGGGAAACATAACTTTTTATCTCATGACTGAATTCTTTCTGAATCTAGTTCAACTTTGCTGTTCAATTTTAGTATTTTTGTTTGTTTGAGGCAGATATGTGTACTAGTGGGTTTTTTTTATTTAGATTGTTCTAAGCTAAGGCTTGGTCATCTTAACCCTCAAACTAGTTTACCCTGAAAGTAGTTTTTCATGTTGGTAGTGTTCGAATGTAAAAGTCAACCTGAGTTGTTCTGGGCTCATAAGCAACAGTAACTACTCTGAGGTATCACCAACAAAATTGCTAGACAGGATAGTGTAGAATCTGTTTCTGTCCTGCAAAGTTGAGATATCCCCGAATCACTCTAAGTGAACAGTAAATACAGCCTTCCCATCATTGGTAATAAGAAAACTAGATGTGTTTTGAAAACCGTGCTACTTAAATTGTAATTCTTCCCAATTTTGTTCTGTTTTGTTTTTGGTGGGGTTTTTTTTTGCTTTGGTTTTTTTATTTTTTTAAGTTAAGTCAGTTTTCAGAAGAGATACACAGAGTAATGCAAAATGTTTTGGTTATTTACTTACTGAAAGGAATCACAGATCTTATTCTCAAGTTTCGTATGTGTCTTTCTATCAGACATGCGCTGGTTTGGAGGTGTGCCTCTTATTGCTCTGGGAAAAAAATCAGTGAAGCAACCAGTATATGTAAGTTTTTAATAAAACAAGACAATCCCAAATCCTGTGTGTGTGTGTGTGTGTGTGTGTGTGTGTGTGTGTGTGTGTGTGTGTGTGTGCTGGTTTTTTTTCTTTCCCTCCTGTAAATCACTTCTGAAAGAGGAGTGTGTGCATGCAATCCTGTTTTCTGTTGGTAATTGTCTGAATTTGTTCCTTACAGGTGGTTGATGTAGCAAAGGCAATTATTAATGCAATTAAGGATCCTGATGCTAAAGGAAAAACATACGCCTTGGCTGGGTAGGTTAGTTCTCTGATTCTAATTAACTGAAGTACTTCTTTTTGGTGTCATTTTTTGGCATGCTGCACAGTGCATTTAATTTCTCCATCCATGCCCACAGTTTGAGCTACAATAAATTCCACCTCCTTTTTGGGAGGAAAAATGACTCAAGCTGTTATTGTGAGTACTCTGAAAATCCTAGCTTGGGCCCCATTGCATTTAATGTTATGTATGTGCACACGAAGAAATAGGCAGTCTTGGGGAAGATACTTGACAACATAGATTTGCAGAAAGTTCTGCTAAGCTGTGTGGAAGCCACCTGGATCTGGACTGGATGGAGGCAGTGGTTCTCTTGGAATATTTTGTTTACGAAAGCTCCAAGCCAGAATAGGTCTTTAGCATTAAGAATAAACAATGTGGCAAATGCCAAGGTAATGGGTCCATGTTTTAACATTGTAACATGGCACTGGAACTGGTCTTCATCCAGCGTATGCAGTAAAAGGAACATTGGATTCATTGATAAAGAAAGTTGCTGATTAGTCAAGATGCAAATAATGCTGAACAGCTCTTTTTTTTTTTCTGTTGCGCATATCTCTGTCTTCCCCCTTATACACTGAAAATGTGAACAGTATCTGGATTTTGCAAAAGGCTTGTCTGAGATTATTGTTTTCTCCATGTTAGTTTTCTGATGCTGTTGGAGTAACATCTCTCTGCTCCCGTAGTGCAGAGATTGTTGCTGGTTAGTCTTTTACTCATGTGATGTCCCTTTCTTCAGTGCTGTGACTGAGCTGTTGAGGAAGATGTAATCCTGGTAGCTAGGCTTAGTGTGCTGTATGCTGGTGTTGAGGAAAAGGCAGAAAACAGGTCTTCAAGATGAAAGAGGCCAACAGTGGCCCAAAAGGACGTCTTACAGCAACAATAAGGTTATTAAGCAACTTGAAGTTGCTTTCAAATCACTGGAATGATGTGAAGTGATACCCTAAAGAACAAGTGGAAGCAAATGCTAGACAGTCATTCTGAAACACTTATTTTATCAAAGAGAATAGGTATGTAGGTGTCAGTTGGACAGAATTAATGCAAAAACACAAAATGGGATGAAATTAACCCTTTTGAGAGACTATTTTAGCTCTTGGGGGCAAACTTGAAGATGGGTCCATATGTATCCAAAGCCACCTGCCACAAGAGGAAGGAGAAGCAACTGGTTTTAGGTTTGTGTGTCTCAGCAGAAGCAACTGCTCCAACTGCAGGAGAAATTGAGAATTGCACACTAAAAAGAACACTGCAGCCAAATGGAAGGGCAATTGGCTGAACTTTGAATGTATTCTTACAGTTTCAAAGTCTCATATTTTGGCAATTTACAGAAGGTCAGGAGTTCAGTGTCCAGGTTTCAGAGACATGAATTCAGGCAAAGATGCCAGGCTCTCACTGCAAAGAATACAATTTCAGGCACATAACAGTGACTGAAAAGACACTTGAATAAGTGGTGGTCTAAACTAAAGATCCAAATTGGTGTTGGAAAATCAAAAGAACTGTGCAGCAGAACCCTTTGCTGAAGCTCTTTGAGGTGCTTTTTAGAGGAGCTACCGGGTTTGAGTTTAAAATACTAATTTTGTAAAAGAGCATTCTCAGACCTTGGTATCTTGGATTTATCAGACTGAAATTCATGTTCTTTGTATGCTAGTATTTGCTTTTTGGACTGTGTGAAGTTTTGCATACTTAGTCTTACTCTAGCTTGGTTTCATTTTTGTGGGATTTTAGATTCCAACAGTAACTCAGTGTCTCCTATTTTGAAAAGAAAAGGGAGACTGAAGATGAAAAAAGCCTAGATTCTTCTTTTTAGGAGGTCCCTACCTGGGAAGGTGATTGTCATGTCACTGAGATCTCTGCCTTAGCTGAAAAGTATAGCAAATTGTTAGGAGATGCACACTTCTGGTATGTTCATTGCTGCTTTGTTCATGACCAGCAGAATGTAATTCTGAAGGTTGAAACACCAAGTGACACATCAGTGCTCAGCAGTGGGCTCCTGTGTGTGGTGAAGGTTCAGAATGTTTTGGAGTACCAGCAAGTTGCCTTGAAAGCCAAGGGAGACACATGTTTCAGTCTGAGCCATCTATAAAGATAAGAGTTTTAAAATGCTGATGCAAAGTCTGAACAAGAAAGGAATGGAAATTCCCAATGGTCTGTGTTTCTCTTGGACTTCTGCAGGTGTGCAGTAGGCTGACTGCTTCCCTCTTGAGAGGGGGAATGCATTCTTTGGGGGGAATTTATCTTAGTTTCTTCCTCTTGCTTTTGAAGAGAACGGTAGATTGTAAGTGAAGCAAAGGCAAGAGAATAAATTTCCTTGCAGCCATTTGCTACCAAAGATGGAATGTCTTGTTAGCAAACCTTCCCTAATTTTACCATTTGCTTTCTGGCTTTCCTCTGCTACAAACTGCCAAATGGGCTTGTACAAATTCAGTCCTGTCTCAGCGCTGAAAATCTTGTACTCAGAATGTGAGTCAGCATGGAGGAGGCACATTAAAGGTGTGCTTTAAAAGTACACAGAATACACTTTATTTGGTACAAATGTGGTGGGTTAGCCTTGGCCAGCAGCCATGTTGACGGGGTCGCAATCACGACGAGAAAAACTTATCTACACAGTTGCAGATAAGCAGGCACTTCTTTATTTGCAGCGCTGGGGAACACAGAGGGTAGCCCCTCAAAGGTGTGTTCCATCGTCCATACATTTTCATAGTCCTTTTATACAATTTTAACAGAGCAAATCATATGATCATGCATATGCATAAGATGTTTACATAAGAGGATTACATATTCCTTTCTCTATCACTCTGATTGGTTCCCCATAGAATTTACCCCTATAATTTTGTCAAAGAAAAGCTTTCAGTCCACTCCCCTAAGAGAGGTTTCGGTCCATCAGTCCATTCCCATGAGAAAGCTTCGGTCCATGTCTATTCTCATGGAAGTTTCAGTCCATTCACATGGTGATCTCAATACAGTTATTACCCCTCCTTTCCATTCTATTATTTAATGTTCCCTTTGGACATGGTTTGTGCTTTTTCTAATTGCTTATACAAATATATCTTGCAACCTTTCTTTTAATTCTGTAGCTTGAACAAGTACCTATTCTAACTTACATAATTATCAGCCCTCCCTGATTACCTTGCCCACTTAAATTACCTTGATTAGTCAAAGTGCTCTTTTAGCTTTACTGCTGAAACAGTTACCCACCCTAACCGGTCAGAATTCCCCAACTGACCAGAATTTTCTTGTAACTACAACAGCCAGACACCCACCCAGCTGCTCACTCCCCCTCCTCTACAGGACAGTGGGAGAAAATAGTATGAAAAGCTTATGGGTATAGAGAGGTATGAGATAGAGAGGGAGATTGCTTATCAGTTACTGTTATGGGCCCAACAGACTTGACTTGGGAAAAATTAATTTACTGTAAAGTAAAATAGATTTGAATAGTGTGAAATAGAGACAAAGACTAAAACAAAATAATGTCCCCCCTCCCGTTTTCTCAGGGGAGTCCTTTATTCCCTTTATTCCCAGCTCCTCTACCCAATCTGCCTGAGCAGTGCAAGGGATGGAGAGCAGCAGGTTATGGGGTCAGTCCATAACAACTCCTCTCTGCTGCATCTTCCCCTTTCACACTTTTCAGTGTGGGCCCTTGCACTTTGTGTTATTGTTTGCTTCTTGTTAGTGTTTATGTGTGGTTTATCTGTTCTGGTTCAGTGGGCTACAGTCCTTCAGGAACCTCTGCTCCAGTGTGGCCATTCCATGAGCCACAGGGGGATCTCTCTGCTTGGGTGCCTGGAGCACCTCCTCCTGCTCTCACATCGGTATCTGCAGGGCTGTTTCTCACACTTCTATCCTCACTGCTCTCTACCTCTGGCATTTTTGCCCTTCCTTAGATATGCTTTCCCAGAGATGCCAGCATCTTGCCTGAGGGGCTCAGCTATGCCCTGCGGTGGGCTTATTGAAGCTGGCTGCCCTTGCAGCCCCCCATGCCAGCACCCGGGTACCAGCACTCAGTGCAGTGATGAAACAATTTTGCAGTTTGTGACTTACACTGTTAGCATCACTGACGTCAGATTATATGTTTTTCTAACTTAGTCCCACTTTATTTGAAACAGTACAGAATCTGGAGAGCCAAAACTTGTTCTTCTCTTACGAGGAAAATGACAAATCTGGCAAATCGTTTAGACTGAAGAAAACGGGCCCTTGGTAGGCTTGGGGATGGAAGGCTTGAAAATTTGTTTCTTGCTGCAGATATTTAAGTATACCTAACTTACCTATAATGTTTGTTGCTTTTTCTTTCAGACCAAACCGATACCTCCTGCATGACATGGTAGAATATATCTATGCGGTTATCTTTCGAACCTTTCTTCCCTATCCGCTTCCACGTCCTCTATACCAGTAAGTGGGATCCTTCCCTCACTAAGAACTTGGGATTCACCAGGCGGCACAGAAGCATAAATAACTGTTGCGTTGGTTATTTAATATTGCCTGTTCTTACTTAACACGGCAGGATTGTAGAAACTGGCTTTCCCTAGATACTCATTAGCTTGCTTTGAGTTTTCTGCTCAGGCACAGGCCTGCATTTGATGAGCTCGTGTATGAAAGGGATACTTGTAATAAGCTTAACATAACTGTTTATTCCGGAGACATTGAATGTCTTTGCTGAGTCAAGAAGTAGCAAAAGGTCCTAAGCAGAGACAATCAGTAGCAAACTAAATGAACTTTTAGTAGTTCCACAGGGAAAATCTGTGTGTATGTTGCTGACTGTAGGCCCTGACAGATTTTACTGCAGCAGCTTAAGGTACTGATACTGCCAGCTGTCCTTCCAGTCTGGTGAGCACTGCCATCCTGGAGGGCAGAGTTGGGGTAAAGATGAGTATGGGTATTGATTGACTTTCTAGTTCAGTCCCTTATTTTGATTTGAGCCAGTGTTGGAAGTAAGTTTGTACTGAGATCTTGGTGTGGGAATTTGAGCAGTGCAGTTGTGAGCAGGCATTTCTTTGTCTGTGATATGAGGGCAGTGAAAACTAATAAGCTAAAAAAGTCACCAATACTAGAACCCTCCTACCAATCTGCTAATAGGACTTGAACATTGGATTCATGTAACTGATGATGAATAATGCTAGAACAACATCTTAAACTGTTGTTGCTATTTCTGAATTGGCTGTAGAGGCATCAGGTTAACATGGCTCAGCTGACACAGAGCAGCTTTTTAAAAAGTAACTGTGAGTGCTTATTAGTTTTATTCACATTTGCTGCAGTCCGTGTTATGCTTTTTTCTTTATGGGCTAAACTAAGTGGTATTTCATATTTTTGAGAAAAGAGTGCATCTAAAAGGTGGATAAGCCTAGTCCTGTTTATGTGCAGTAACGTAGTAACACCTTAGTCTGCCAGGTGAGCACTCCAGAAAGAGATTCTACTTTGATTACTGTTGGTCCCAAGACACTGAGCAAGAACTGTATTTTCTTTGCAAGATTTTATTTCTTTCAAGGGAAGCTTCATTTTTGCTAACTGTAAATATACTAATCCTCATCCTTTTTATAGATGCAGATTGCTCCAGATTCTATCATCTTGTTTGTACGGCTGTTAACTCATTTAGTTGTCAGCAAGTGTGTTTTCTCATAGAGACACTGAATCAAACTAATTGGATTACTGCCTACACTGCTAGGGAACAGAGTTTAGAGGAAAGGCAGGGGCAAAACTGAACCCTCTGGTGTGTGGGGAATTGGATGTGGAGGTTTACTTTCTGCACCCACAAATGCTCATTTTTACTTCTTAATACCTGCTCCTCCATTCCCTTCCAAAGTAAAAGAATAGGAGATCAAGTAATTCCATAGCAAACAGTTAAAGTTACCAGAAACACAACTAAAAACTTGCTGGCTGGCATGTTCGCTGCTTTAATGAATTAATTTCGTGAAAGAACAGCTACAAGCTGTTGCTCACTGTTGATTAAGTGTGAAATATTTTTACTAATCTTGTTTTCTTCTGTGCATCTGGATAATGACTCTACTTCTGCAATGCTCTTTCTAATTACAGTTTAGTTGCAAGATTCTTTGAGATTAGTCCATTTGAACCATGGTTAACACGAGACAAAGTGGACCGGGTAAGTGCAGGACTATTCACAAATTCCTCATAGGAAATCTTTCATTGTGTATTTGTAACTTGCACTTGTAGTTTTACATTCAAGGAGTGCCAAAATATGTGTGCTTCATGTGGTGGTGTATTTCAGTCAGTTCAATGGCTACAATTTGATTATAAAGAATTGCTTTCAGACTGTTTGAATGCTACGAAAATTTGAATTTTTAAAGGTGTCTATAACCTTCCTAAAAGAAATGGTTATGGTTCCTGCCATACAATTGTTCTGCAATCTTGCTCTTAACTTATTTGTGTGCAGTGCCATGGGGGTGCACTGTCAAAGCAGTCTGGAGATTCCTCTGCTGTAGTCAAAGAAAGACTTAGCAAGAGAGAGAGAGACTAAAAATTTTTTTTTTTTAAAGACATCATTATGATGTAGTCTTTCCACTAGCATTGGTAGAGGAAGAATAGTTAACATTTCTCTAAATATGTTTAAGGAAGTGGTTAAAACACTTGATAAGGGATTATATAGCAAGAAGTAACATCATGGGGGTGGGGAAAGGGCCCAACCTTATGTGTCAGAAGTGGTTAAGGCTGCATACTTCACTGTGCCCCTCCACCAAAACACATGCTATTTAAAATAGCAAAGCCAAAGTAGAGATTGGATGTGCAATGTGTAGCTAAATGATGGGGGGTGTGCTCCCCACCTTTAGGTAACTAGTGAGTTTATGTACCTCTAGATGCATCAAAATCACTTATATGATCCAGATAATGGCATTTTTAGCAACTGAAGTTGAACAGACAGTGCTGGATACAGCCCAAATTCTTGCTCAACATTAGCCTGCATTTCTCATGAACGTGTTGTGAATTCATGTTTATTCCTAACTTAGAGTGTCTAAGTGGGGGTGGAGAAATACCTTGCAAAAATCCAACTGCAAGTGAGGAAAAGTAGGATTTAGCAAGCATTAATGTCAAAACTGTTGGCATATGGATAGGTTAGCCAAAAGAGTCATGTACTCTGACAATCTCTAAGCTTGCTGCTCTCTGCAGGTTGCAGGTACTCTCCCAACTATTTTCCAGAGTTGGAGTTTTAATGCCTTCTATTAAGATGCAGTATCAATAGCTTATTTTGACCTGATTGTCCCAGAATTAATTTGGGGTAGGGTTCTAGCATGTATCTGGGAGAACTGGGTCCTATACTTAGAGCTGCTTACTTTAATAACTGTAAGCAATTAATTTCTCCATTTACATTTCTCCATCTGTGAAATAAACCAGTTTCTTATTCTGATTAGGAAAAATTGGATGGTGTGTGTAATAAAGGAGGTAAACTTATTCATGGTCTAGTACAAAACTTCCTCCCCCCCCACCCCAGACCACTGACTCGCCCCAAATACTAGAAAGAATTCACATTGTAGTTCTGTTTGCTGTATTGACCCAGGATGTAGATGGAACATCTCCTTACTTCTAGCTGCCTCTTTACTGTATAGACTTACACTGCATAAAATAAGCCTGCACCAAATCACTAAAACTACTGCAATTCATCTATAGCATGGGTAGTATAAGAGGGAAGTTTCTCCTTGTCAATTCTGTGTCTGATTGTTCCTCTTTCCCAGCTTTTCATCCTCAAGTAATCTACATAAAGTTAGATGTGGTTGGCTTAAAGACCTTTTAATGAATAATATCGCAAGAGAAATCCCCGTTTTCTAAGATATAGGTCATATGTGTTGCAAATATAATAGAATTAGATATTTGTCTAAACAGAGAAAAACAACCTACCAAAGGTGGTAATTCAACATACATTTTCTTGACAAAGCAGAATCTACATAATTGCACTTCAAATATGCCCTTACAAGTTTGGCATAACTTTTGTGGTTGCAATGTAGTAATCTTCTGAATAACATATACCTAATGGAGATAAAATGAAGATACTGTCTGCATGTCTCACTGCTGTTTATTCCTGAATCTGAACCTGAAGCCTGAAGGACTTTTTGCCAGCTGCAGAACATCTGTATCTTTTGTCAAAGTACACTGGGTACTCAGTACCTTGTATAATTATGCCATAGTTCTGTAGGGCTGCATTGAATGTTTTCTTCCTCCTACGGAAAAATACTGAGCCAAAATAAGTCAAGGAACGAGGACTGAGGCACAGTTGGCTGAGTCCACATTTGTAGTATATCTGAAGGCCTATTCAAACACAAGATGCAGCAGTGTATTGTATTGCATTGCAGGGTTCTTTCTTCGGGGAAACAGTCTGATGTCTGGAACCTTGAAATTGTGGTGGAATCTCCCAAGAGCTGCCATTTGTAGAACATTGTATTGATATATTGCAGTGTTTCTAGAAATACGCATTTATGCTGGTTTGTTTCTGTAGAAGAAAAAAAGGTGACCTCATGTATGAGTGACAATACTTTTTTAGTATGTGAATGATTGCAATGGGTGTAACGCTGTTCATTTCATCAAGTGAATTCCTTTTTTCTTTTTGCGCTCTTTTCCTCTTCTTTTTAAAGTTTCACACAACAGACATGACACTGCCTGACCTTCCTGGTTTGGAAGACCTAGGTATTCAACCAACACCTCTAGAACAAAAGGCAATTGAAGTTCTGCGCCGTCACCGCAGATACCGCTGGCTGGATGCTGAGCTGGAGGAAGCAAAACCAGCTAAGACATATCCCATGTAACAGTTGGTGGTTACTTAACATTTCTTAAACTGCCTTTGTATGACCCAATTTGTTTGGAGAACTGTGTACATACTGAGTAAAATATATTAATCATGTAAACTATATTTCACCAGTGTTGTCTCTTCATTTATGGAAGACTGTCATTGAAATGCAATTTTTCACTTTAAAAGGTCATGAAAGCAAATTACGTATTGTTGCTTAGCTGGTGAACATTAAAATATTTTGAAGGTTGGGACTAGAGAGAATGTGTCTTAACATGAGTCAGTTTCTCCCTTGGCTCTCAAGGCAAGCATATCACTGAGCTTTAGTAAGTGCTCAAGTGATTTGAAGAACATTGCAGTTTGGGACTGTGTTGCCTAGAACATGCCCTTTCCAGTAGGGTTTGCTGGTACTGCCACCTACTCAGATTATGAGGTCTCGGATGAAGCTTCGTTTTTAACTTCTTGATTCTAAACTTTATTTTCTGCCCTGCACACAACTGTTATAGAAAATGCCAACCAAAATGGCACAAGGAGCGTCAATCAGACATGTAAACAAGTTACTACATGTCATCTGATAATTTTGTGTGCTGTAGACACAAAGGCATGAGGAAATGTGGTGTTTCTTCCATTTTTAAAAGAGAAAGTAGTATTTTTAGATGCTCAGAACTTTTGTGCTGGGACATTGTCTTTATTTTGGGAAGACTGATAAGCTTTGCTTCAGGATTAAATATTTGCAATTGTTTTAAGATCAAAGAAATATCCCTGCCTGAATTTGATCAAGAACTGCGCTTTGTTTCCATATCCAAAGAGTTGCTGGAGGCTTTTGGTTAAATTCTGGCAAGGACAGTGTTTGCTAGGGTGCAGCTTATAGCTGAGTAAGTCTTTGCTGAGAACTGAGAGCAGAGATCTGGATCTTCTGTACACAGTGCAGTGTTCTGATGGCTTCAAGATGTGAAAGAAGACATTTCTTGAATCAAAGAGTGAGCTGCTAGTTCTGGGAGTAGGACAAATCACACAAACTAGGATGAGTTGAGATTGGTGGGAAAGCTGGTTTTAAACTGGGGCTAAGGGGATAAAATGAGTGACAAAGCGTGTTGTGTTTTCATCTCCAAGCTTCCTACTCCTTGCCTTTGTTGGATGTGAAATCGGAGGGAAGGAACTGGGACAAGGGACAAAGGTAGAAGCTTTATATGGAAGGAGAGAAAAATCTGAAGTGGAGAATGGAGTGGAATAGGTAATGGAAAAGGAGAGTAGGAAAGAACGAACAGAGATGGAAAAGAACAGAATGGTCAAGGATAAAGGAAGCACAGGAGTCTTTTGATTAAATCACACTGCTGGAGCCAAAGATCAGAATCTCACTGTTTCTGTATTGTTGCCAAACTACTGTGAAACTCCTGGGCAAAGTGTTTCTTAAATTTCAACAGCTTCCACATTTTGCTCTTCACATAAAACCTACTGCTGCCAATGTTTACTCTGTTAGGAAGAGGTAGGCTCTTGTGGTAGTATGAATTTTTTGATCCTCCATACTATACATTCAATTTAGATTGTTTATTTTTTTTGGATACTATAAGTTCAGTTGTTCTGAAATAAAACTGCCTATTCAAACATTCAAAAGCTAGGGCAAACTGGAAGTGAAATGTGTATTGTTAATGATTTGACCCCTAACTATTTTTCTGACTGCAAGGTTTTTTTCCATAACACCCTAACTGTAAATAAGTACCCTTATTAGTGCTCATTTGTGTGGCTTTAATCTTGATTTATTGCATGTTATTCACATCCTGCTGGAAAGACAGTAGTATTTCTGAACTGTTTCACAAGTGCACTTAGTACAGAGATACACAATTATCATGATAGTCCTGCTTGGCTAACAAGCAGTTCCCATTTTCAGGTGGCAAACTGGGGCAGAAAAAAAATGTCCAAGGTAAAGCTGTAATGTTATGTGCCAGTTCTAGGAATGCTTTCCATAATGCAGTGATTTGTTTATTTTTTCCTCCATTCAAAGCACAGCTTTTCAAATGGCTTCAGTTGTACCACAGACCACTCCTACAGGATCTTAATTCAGACAGTCATTAGATGGAGAACATGATGGTGATGAATACCCATGAAAAGTTTGCTTTAAGCAGCCTGCTCCACATCAGCTAGGAATACTGGTAAAGTGGAGTATTGTCACATCGGTGCTCAGCTGCTACTGCTGCAAGTTTCATTTTCCACAATTTTTTGCCTTACATAGCTCTTCCACTTCCTACTTTGTAAAAACGACAGTGTGATTTCTCACTGTTTATCCATTTCTTTAGGGGTCTGGAATGTAAGGAAAAAAAAAGTCACTTATTTTGTAATACTGTCCAGAGTACAAAGTTACTATAATTCAGTTTCATCAGTGATTTTTATCCCTACTCGTTTATCAATGAGAGGATCTTGCTGCTTATCCTGTCGCTGCTTTCTCAGCTTGCAATAGTTTTTCAGCCAGTCTGCAATTTTCATACTACTGAAAGTCCGTTAAAGGTGTGGACTCGTTTGTGAGGGGAGCCGCTCAAATTGGTACGGAGAGGGACAGACGGAGCTGCTGTTTTCTACCCTCCCCACAAGAGGTCACTGGTAGAGCAGTAAGCGGTAATGGTCTTCAAGCACGCTGGGTGCCTCCGGTTTTTGCAGCCTGTCTCCTGCTTGACCTTTGCCATTTCTCATCTCTGTTACTTGCCTGCATGCAGCCAGGAGGCTGTCCAGAAAGGAACTTTCAGGTCAGGCTCAAAACTGTGCATCGACAAATTTAGGTGCATAATACAAGGCACTGGTACCACAAGGCACTGGTACCTTCTCTGGCTGCAAGGGAACCCATTTTGGTCCTTTCCCAGCACATAGTATAATAATCTAATCTATAGCCCACCTTCAGCCTGCTCTAGAAGGTCTTGTGAGAAAGCAGACTCAGCAGCACGTTTATGGACTGGATGAATCATTTGTGTGAGTGTGTATGCACTTAGGAGACAGATGGTTAAGGACCAATAAGGGCTGAAGAGTTGGTGAAGGCAATCATACTGGCATTCATTTTAGATATATGTGTATGTCTCTCTGTGTGCGTGTATATGTACATAGATATATATATCCATGCCCCACCCAGCCTGGGACAGTCTGATGGAAAGTATATGCATTTCCCTGGGACTGAGAAGAAAACAGGAAACGGTGCATAGGTGTCACTAAAATATCACATCTCACTTACGGCACTCGGCTAGCCTGAAAGGAAAAAGTGACTACTCGGGATAGTTAATTTGGTTCATGTGCTGCCTTGGAGCACCAGTATATCTTGGCTGATGTGAAGAGAAATTCATGTAGGAGAATATTGTCAGAGATTGTTCTAATGGTAGTGGTGGTCCTCATAAAAATTAGACCACTTCTGTATTTTGAGTTTGTGTGGGAAGTATTGGTTGCCTTTATCCTTTATTGGGAAGGTAACCACTAGTGTGATTTTTCAGTGTGAAAGGAGTCAGGTATGGAAGAAGGAGAAGGAAATAGCAAAAGCAGAAAACTTAACCCACTTTGCTTTTTGAGATCCCCCTGCAAGTAGGGCTGGAGGATACTTGCGTTTTAGGAGCAACTTGTGTGCGTGGGAATAGTATCTGTGTCTAAGGGTGGGGAGAAGGATTTGGACCTTATGTTTCCTCAAAGACTGTATGCATCCTAAGCTGTTAGGACTCTGACTTGAACTTACTGCTAATTGTGTGCATATTTATGATGAAAATATGATAACGCTCAAATTGTGCTGTTCATAGTGTATCGCTCCAAGTTGGAACAGGTGATTCATAGAATTAAGCCTTCCTGTCTGTCTGCTGCTTTATTCGTACCTCTCAGTTTTTCTTTCTTGACTGACTTGGAAAGCCTTAAAGCTTTCTTCAGTTGCTTAGAGGGCATATGGTTAATTACTGAGAAAAGCTTTCACATGGGCAGTAGTTATTCTGTAGTTACGTCTCTCTCCCTGCTGTTTTCTCTTCTTCCTTCCCCCGTGCCGTAACTGATATGCGTGGATACGCGTTATATGAAATGAGGAGATCAGAGAACTGCTATATTTAAAGCGTTGTAAGAACTCATGAGTAATTCATGATCGTGTTACTGCAGCATCTTCGAAGTATGGAGGCAGACAGTGAAGGACACTGATGAAATGGCAAAGGAAGGCTGATGGCAGAGCTGAGAACAGAGTGACAGTGTGCTGTCACTGATATGAAGCTGATGTGGCTTTTTTCTGTCCTTTTAATGATGAGTTATAGACTGGGACTCACCATTCTTTTCTGAAAAAGCTTGCAAAGGTGGTAGCATCAACATTTTTGTAATAAGCAAATGAGACCTTTTGGAGAAAATTCTGAATGAAATTAGTTCTGGATTCCTGTGCATCTCTACTTATGCTTTCTGTTCTGCTTTCTTAAGCCTGTTTTGACACACACTTCCATTTTGACTTGTATGTGAATCAGCAACAATAAATCACAGCTGATCTACTTCCAAGACTTTGGAGAGTGGTTTAATGTTAATGGGCAAAGCTTGTTTGATTGTGGTAGTGGTTTCGGGTTTTTTTGGTTTGGGGTTTTTTTTCTTTTGGGGGGGGTGTGGGGGAGAGAAGATAAAATCTAGGAAATGGAAATTGCCTTTCTCACTGCCACTAGAGAATCTCATCCAGATCCAAGGGATTTTGTTACTGGAATTCTGATTTGCAGCAGGGCATGGAGTGCCCAGTTGTGAAACGTGTATAGCAACACATGTGCATTGGTTTACCCTCTCTACTGCCACAGTCTTGACTAGAATTAAATCAGCCAGTACTCAGAGTTACTGCTTAGCAAATGCTTTTCTAGGTTTTCCACCTCTTCTGTAACCTTCTTGGCCAATATTTATCATCTGGGCTGATAAAACTCATTAAAAAGTCATTAAATATCTTCCTTCAAAGTTTTCTGCTTTGTATGCATGTATTATAGGATTTTTTTTAATACTTAAGCTTTTCTGGTGCAGTACAAGAAAGTATAACACAACAACAAAGAAGGGAGATAGCTTCTGCAGAACAGTTAGAAAAATAATAAAGTAATTTTTGAGGATAAGGTTTATAAGGCTGTATGTATTATCTGTTGTTTCTCTTC